CTTCTCATCTTTTTCTTCTTGCTTGGATCATTCCTTCTCTGATCTTTCTGCCACTATTATTTTCATAATAGTGGTTACCCTGGCACCTTAACCCCAGAGGATGGACAGACGGACGGACACACACACACACACACACACACACACACACACACACGCTTATAATAAAGGTTTTGTCTTTTAGTCTACTTCATTCCAGTATTAGAGTTGGATTACGGTCACTGGAGACTACTTCCACGACCATATTGTGTCACAATCCAGGTACACACCAGGTCCTGGCACATCTCCAAGCGCTTGCCTGGGTAGGCGAACTCTCCATAATCCAGTTACCCCATATCACAGACCTCCTCTCGCAGGGGGAATGCCTAGGGGATTTGGGATGATCTGCATTTCACGTTATTATTTTTATGACTTACACACATTTCTAATTGTCATTCTGTTTGCCAAAAAAATTGAAACAGATGGATACAAGTGGCATGCAGGCTGACGCTGGAATCACTCATTTAAATGAACACTGTAGTGATAATGCTCATCTCACTTCTACGAGATTCTGTTCCTCTCCAAAGCAAAAGAGAGGAGAAATTGTCTTTTGACGCCATTTCTTTTGCTTCAAAACTGAAACAAAAGAAATTATCCTTTTTCAAATCCCCAATAATCCATCCATGTAGCTTCACGGCACTTTCCGCTGTGTAGGATCTGTATTTTCAAATCCAGTCTCTCTGTGTTTACCGTACAGTTTTATGGTAGCGCATGACATTTTATCTCTGATTAAAGCCCACAATCGTAGTTAAGGAGTATCCGGCAGTGTATACTGGAAAGTCTAAATTAGGAACTTTATCAAAGAAGAAGGAGATGTTTTTAACCTGACAGTTAGAAAGCCAGTGATAGATGCCTGTGGCTCAGCTTGCCAGTGATGCCCACAGGAGCCCAGGTCACCTCTTTCCATTTCACGACCCTGCCAGGGTTGGCACTGAGTTTCTACCTCGTCCTCAGGTTTGCAGCTCCTGACACGAGATCACGTCACCCCGATCCCGGTGAACGGAACGGAAGTAGTTGGTGAAAATTGTACGGGCCCCTTTTATTACCAGAAAGGAAGCTTCCTCTGAAAGAGTCCCCGTACGAGTCCTCAGGTGTCTTCCTGGCCCCACTCATCTCTGATGCCCCCTGACTACAGGCAGGTTGGGAAAGTGTACTGAAAGCTGACCAAGTTGCGCCCAGTTCTAAGGACAGGTTTGCTCTGAAGAGGTAATTCCATTTTAATGCCTGAATGTCACTGAGCCAAGCTTAGATCACTTTTCTAATTCATTACACCCTTCACCTGAGAGCAACAGCATAGGTGAACATTCCACCACCAGGAATCCAGCCAAATTACCGAGATTTACCCAACATCCAGTAGTGAACGGTATCCAGCTTAAGTGCAAGGGAGACAGAAAAGAATTAGACACAGTTCTGGTGCAAAGCATTGAAGGGATAAGACTTATGGGAACAGAGTTGAATAAAAATTTAATAACAAGGAAGATACGGACCATAAAATAATATTATGAAAGTAACAACTGTCAAAAGCAATTGCTCAGTGGTAGAGCACATGCGTAGCATGCACAAGATCCTGGGTTCAATCCCCAGTACCTCCATTTAAAAATACATAATAAATAAAACCTAATTACCTCCCATCCACCCACAAAAAGACAAAAGTAACTGTCAATTGCTGTTATGAAAGAAGGTGAAAG